GATGGAAGGGGGGACCTGGGGGGGGGGACATCCCACCTCAACGGGTCTCTCGCACGAGAGCTTACGTAGTTACGGCCAACTGAAGTTAATTGCCTTGTGGATTTAGTGTTAGTGGAAGAGGTTTGAAGACTTGTTTATGTTTTCAGGTATTAGGTTTAAAATAAAGTCTATTAAAAAAAGAAAAAATAGGAAAAGGTTTTGTGAAAACAATTACAAATCTGATTGTTGGAAAGAAATACGATAATTGCTTGTTAAAAAGGCCTGTGACAATAGTTTTCTAGCCAGTTTTGCTAGCATCTGGCTAGTGTTTACAAAAGGTCACTGACCACTAGCATAGGATATTAATCATCTCCATACAGTATTAACTTATGGCTATATCAAATTACGAAATGCTTTTTTAAATTGATTCTTAGGAAATGTTTTCTAAAAGTCCAAATATTGGGAGAGCAAGCACATTTCTATCCAAACTTGTTTATCTTACATTATAGTTTAAGCGGAATAATTCAGAGATGGAATTCTTTAATAAATAGCATTACTTTTTCCTATTTATTTTCTGCGTTAGTGTTGTTCCAGTCCCACAGTGGTTTTACTTGTAGCAGATTCTCTGTCAGCTACATTCAAGGTGCAGTATGTCCTCCACTTCACCAAGACTTGGATTCTGGAGTAGGCTGCAGTTCAGAAGTTCATTCTCTGCCATGCCCTGATGCGAGGAGGGATGTATTCACATCGTGGGGCTTTTTCCATTTTCATGTGCACGGTTTTGGAAAGGGAGACTTGTGGTTTATGACTTTGTTTCAAACTGTTTACAAAAAAGCAACTAATTTGCATGGGTTTTTCGTTGGTGAGCTGTAAAGAAGCAGAACTGCTTAGATTTTATCTTGTTTAACGTATTTAAAAGCACGCTTGAAATTGTTATCTTCTTTGAGATAGAAGTGGTGTTTCTTGACACTTATTTTTACCTTGGAAATACCAAGAATGTCAGGCTGCATCTCTCCTATTCTGTCACAAGACAGACTTGGGATTTCAGAGAGGAGCTGTGAGCTTTTAAGACCAGAACTCACTGGTAAATACCCAGTGATATTTAGTTTTTACGATTGGGCTGTGCAGGTGTTACTTTTTTAACAGTCTGAACAAAAATGGGTTCTGCTTTCAAATTAGTGAAATTTGATTGACGTCTGTCATAACCCTGCCATGTCTTGCGTTTTCTAAGCAAGCTCTGCCTCTCCAAAATGCAGAGTAACCAGCTGGAGACCCTGTCCTTAAATAGCACAAAGGGCTCCTGTCAAACAGAGAGATCCTGAAGAGCTCTGAAAGTAATTTGTTTTTTTTTTAAGTGTGGGTTTGCTTGGGTTTTTTTGATGTGGCTTTTTTTTTTTTTTTTAAACAAAAATGCAACAAGATGCAACCCGAAACCCTACAACAAGTTTTGGCCTGAACTTGGCATCTAATCTATGCTGTTGTGCAGCTGAGGCACTGAAGTTGCCAATTTCACATAATTAATATGAAGGGTGGGGAAATCAAAACAGCATGAGATTTTATCTTGACTTAGTATCCCAGGATTATTTTTTTTTTTGTTATTTGTAAGTTCCTATGAAGCTTTACGGTTCATGACTGTTGAAACATTTACGTCTGCACTTAGAAATCCCAGGCTGTATAGAGGTGCTGCTTCAGTTCAAATGGGGTGGTAAAACAGTTTTCCTGGACTCTTGCTAAGAACAGATTGAGAGCATGACATCAAATTGTCACCTTGTCCTATAACTGCAAAAGCCAGGAACCTGATCCTGCAGCCCAGTGAGCTGAGCACGACTCCTCCTGAGCAGCTGTGACTGGATGTTTTAGTATTATGAAAGGTTTTGATTATTTTGTCCATTTTTTTTCTTACTCCCTGAAGCCTTTGGCTTGTAATACTAACAGAAGACACTATTACTTGAAGCTCTAAGAGGCATAAGTCCTTCTCTACCAATCTCGACCAATCTACCAAAGGATTCTTCTAAATAGTCCTTTTAATGAGCCTTTTTAGAAGACAAAGCTGGGAAAAAAACTGCCCTGTAGCTTGATGAGAGGTTTTTTGGCTTCTGAATGAGTGTGTACAGGTTCAGACTTATCAAACAGACACTTGGGTAGCAGTCATGGTCTTTGAAGAATGTGAAGGCTTGTTGAAAGGCTTCTTTTGATTGCAATAATATGTTATCAGGCTCTGGAGTAGCTGTAGAGTTTCCAGATAGACCAGGCGAGGATCATCTGTCAACTTTAGTGTCATCTAAAAGTTTGGCATCTGGTTTGCTGGCAGAACCCAGGGGACTGGCCAAATGGCAGGAGTGAGAGGTCTGTTTTGCCTGTACTGGTGGGAGAGGAGCTGGCCCAGGACTGTCTGATGGTGGTGCTGGGGCAATGTGGATTATGAACTTGAACCATCTCTCCAGTTTTGAGGGGCCTGAAGCTGGACACTCTCCTGATCTGTGGTGTCTGACCCGCTTTGGAAGAGCAGAGTGGCTCGTTTCTAGGGGTAAAAATTCTGCTGGTTGTGTGTCTCTGCCTCAACCCCACAGCAACAGCAGCAGAGTGTGATGCTGCCAGGACCTGCTAATGAACTGTGCCTGTTCCTTAGTCTGATCAGGGTGATAAAAGTTATCAGAACTGCCTCCCTTGGTGTGCCAAAACGCAATCAGCACCACTGAACCTTTTATAAAGTAAGGGGGGAAAAAAGCATTAGTGAAAGAAATCATGCTTATGACGAAGAAATCATACTCTTAGAAGAAGATACGGTGCTGGACCTGGGCATTCATAACCTAATAAGCAGGTAGAGACCTTAGGGACAAAGGAATACTGCATCTTTAAAATGCTTGAAGGCTTGAGAATATGTGGTTATTTCTGGATTTCGTTATTCCAGAGCTCAGCACTTCAACAGCTGAAGTGTTGGAGAGTGTGTTCTTCCTGATCTGCCAAACCGTGTTCGTGCTTGGGATGGCTTTAACATGGAGCCCTGCTTGGCTTTCAGAAACTTACAAGCTTCCAGTGGGCAATAGGTGGAAGAGGCCAGAAGGTAGGAGGTGTGATGTTTGCAGCAAGGCATAGGAGTTGATTTAAATCAAGTGAAAACTACCCTTGAGGTTAAAGGAACACGTAAGGAATTGATCCAAGACACGGGGGGTGGTGGTGGGGTAGGAACTGGTAGCAGAGAAGGGAGCAGTGTGTCCCCACCACACCTGGGTGTGTTGCTCCTTCAGCACAGGAGATGGAGGGGAAGAGTTGAGTCCATTGTGCTTGCAAAGGCATTGTTTGGCCCAATTTTTGCAAAATCTGCAAAAAAAAAAAAAATATCACTGCTTTTGGGTCAGAATGTGCAGACAGCTCTCCAGGCACAAGCAGTGTGTGTGGTAGGAGCTTTGTCTGGTGATAGACCCTCCTGTCCCCTGGCCAAAGGGTGGAGGAGTGGCCAGTCGGGTCCCTGAGCATGTGGCAATAGAAGGGTTTGGTTTAAAAAATAATAAAAAAAAGACTTTGTGAGAGAGAACTACTCACAGGGGTAGGGATTTACAGATACAAGTCCCATGCTCGCATCTCCGGTGTTCAAGTTGTAACTAGCAAAGACATGTCGTGTTTAAGTGTCTCATAACGTGGTCATGGGAATATTTGGAAGCCTGTGAAGCCACGGGGTGAGGAGACGGGGTGGGAGGTGGCAAATTCAATGTCTGGCTCTTACAGTTCTAGCTCTTTGCCCCATTGGTTGATAGACAATCTACTTTTTGATATCACATGACTCTTGAAAGCTAGCTAGCTATTTATTTAAATATATGTAACTTATAATTTTTGTCATCAAACACTGATATTTTTAAGAGAAATGGACTCTATGGAAGTTTGTTCTCAGGGCTTCATATTTATACTCTCTTGATAGAGGGATGCATTTAAAGGGATGTATTGGAGGGAAAAGAGAATAATGCCAGTGGCCACTTTACAACTTGGACCTTGGTGAGCCTGAGCTGGTGTAACTCCTAAGGAACCCTTCGTGTCTGCTCCAGCCCAGAGAACCTGCTGGTCCTTCTGTCCCTCTGAGCAGAGATGTGAGTCTTCCTCTCAGATGGCTGCATCCCTCTGTGGAAATGGTCACGCAGGGCTGCCCCGAAACGTCACAGTTGGCTGAGCTTTGCGCCATTTCAAGGACACTTCTGCTCCCTGTGCAGCTGGAAAATTAACTTGCAGGGTTTCTGGAGCTCCTGCTCCTCTCCTGGGGGTGGAGGGAGGTTTGCTCCTGTGAGAGCTTGGAAACCTCCAGGTAATCCCTGGTTTTTTGGCTGCTCACAGCCCCCATCACAGGCACATCCCAGAATCTTGACCCCCGTTTCTTTCCTCGCTCTCCTGGAACCAAACTTGTCTTTTGGAGATTGATCTTCATATCCAAGCAACGCTTAAGTGGTTATTGAAATCCTTTTTAGTTGGGACTGTTACAATTTATATATTTTATTATTTTTATTTTTTTTTTTTAGGCATTGTGATTCATGGGCTGAGGCTCTTTTAATATATTTTGAAAGTTGTTTAAATAAGCATTGCACCAAACGAATGTATAGTAACACTGTCAGCAAATATTGCCAGTGGAAGAGACACGGGAGTTACGCTCACCTCTACGGCCGTAGCGTGCCCG